CCATGTCTGGCAGCCACAGGGGTTTGAAGCTTGAGTGAGCCTGTGTGATAGTTACCCTCCTGATTGATACCCTGGGGCTGAACTCTTGGTCCCACCAAACGGAAAACGTAAATTGCCACAGCTTGAACTAAGAAACAGTATTTTTAGCAGGGGACTGGAACAAATGATAACCTCTGTGGACTGGCCCAGAAGGAGCAATGCCCAAAACACATGCTCACCAGCTGATTTGCCAGAAGCCTCTACCACAAGAGTGAACAAGTGAGAGCAGGATTGCCTTAGAGCTCTCTCATGCTGATTGAGTTGTAAATTAGGCTGTATCTGAGCCTTATTTAAAAACCACAATTTATGTAACAAATCTGAAAGTGCTGAGAGCTATAAGTGAAACATGAAACTACCAACAAAAACAGGAGAAACAGAGCTGATCTGAGAAACAGGTGACTGGTTTTCATGGGAAACACTTTTGCAGGCCATCCCTTCTTTTGTGTGACATTTTTTCCATACACACAGGACTTTAACTTAGGCACCAACATCACAGCAGAATTTTTTACGAAAAATGAAGATCCAGTTCTTCCTAGAGTTCATCCTCACACATGAGCCTGGGTATTAAAGTTTTCAGTCCTAAACTGGTACAGTAAAAAGTTCATGGAAAGGAAGAGTATCCTATGTGTGTCTCCAGTAACCAGGGTTTACTGGAATAGGTTGGAAAAACTCGGAGAGAAGTACTATTTAAAGTGTGTTATCCAAAATAAAACAGGATCAAAAAGAAGTCAAAAGAAGAAATAGCTCTGCATGAAATTTTCTTTGTAGTCCGTTGCTGATCCATAAATGAGTCACTTGCAAAGGTTCTCTTGGGTTTCATCTCATCACCCTCTTTGAATCTTCTGAAACCGTCCACTGAAATTCGAGTTACTCAGACATGCCTCAGTCACCTCAGGCCCTTCAAACAGGGCCACACCGGAGAAAACAGGGCACAGTTTTCCTTTCCCTTTTGCTTTTCTTCGTCGTCTTGGCAACATGGGAACACCGCCGTGCTGGTTCGCACGCTGCAAGGGCTCTTGCGCCGGGGGCCATTGCGCGCGTTGGCTTCACCACAGAGGCAGGGCCGGGCGCGAGGCCGCACGGGGTGGCGGGGACGCCACCAGGCAGCTCGGCGGCAGCTGGTGGGGCCTGCTGTCTCGCCGCACGTCCCGGCAACAGCCTGTCAGCAACGCTGTGGAGAAGTGAGCCAAGAAGCTTGTTTCTACTACAGCGCCATTTGCTCAAAACCAGACGCCAGTGTGACATGAACAAGTTCATCAGGAAACAGTGTTTCTGCGTGTCAACAGTGGCTGTTTTGACCAGCAATTTTCAGATAAAACAGAATGGTAACCAAATCTGTGAATATTGTGGTCTTGAGCATTTCAGCTACGAAGTTTTCTGCGATCAAATAAGTAGGAAAGCATGCAAACCCCTTTTCCTACGTATATAAGAGCAGTGTTTACAACCAACCCTGGGAGCTTGCATGCCAGACTTCAGTCCTCTAATATGTAAAAAATGAACTGCAGTATCAGCTTTCATGTTGGTTTTACAGGTTTCCGTGGGCTACAGTGCTCCTGAGTGACAAAATCAGGACCTTCTCCCTTGTCCTTCTCCCCTTCTCTTTGCCTAAGGCAGAAATGTGCTGTCTCAGGTGCATTCCCAGCCTCAGCTACCTTCAGACCAATGGTCAAACTGAGGACCTGAACTCCAGGCAATACCTTGTGCTATCTTTGCTCTCTAAGATCTGCCTTTAAAAATAAACAGACTGCCACAGCCACACTGACTCAGGCTGAATGTCTGGACCTGATATAGCACAGAGCTGTTCTGTCATTACACCCACAGGTCACAACCTTGTTATTGCCCAGCACGGGCAATAAATGGAACACTGTTTATTTATTTGTTTGGTCCTTTTTTTTTTTTTTTTTTTCCCTGATGCTCTGAGCTAGGATTCTAAGTTAATGATAAGTAGTTTGTGCACACAGTTCATATACAAGCAAATTGAATTACTAAAAGATAACAGCAATAAAAATCAGCCAAAAATGGTAGCCTGAGAAACTAATGCCATTTCTGATTTTATATTTGAACCCCTTTTCAACCTGCTTTCCGTCACAGTGAACATTTTGACAGTAACCCAATGGCTCAGTTACCTGCAAATGTACTTCCAGTTTGTTTGGTTTTTTTAAAACAATGCGGCTCAAAAACTTATGTTACAAAGTATTTCACAGGATTAGGCAGCTTGCCCTTCTGATCTGAGAGTCCATTGAAGCCCGAAGCCTCAGTGAAATGACAAAAACTATAATTTCATTGAGCTCACGCAAGATGATAGTCTAAATCTATGGTCTGAGACTCCCTCGCCATGTGACCCTCTCCCAGGACATCCAGATCCTTAGTCACAACTGTACGGTAAGAAGGCAGCAAGAGCCAAGAAGCTGATATTTCTATCAGTGAGACTGAATGATCTTCCAAGACCCACTGCAGTAAAGCTTGGAGACTGATGCCACTATTCCTCCTATAGAGCTCAGAGCCGATGCTATAGCTCTTTCAGGTACTTTCCTTCACGGCAAATATGTTAAAACTCTGTGATGACCACCTATCCTGCTATATCCTTGGGTGGAAGTATGGCATAGTACCTGGTGGGCAGGGCCCAAAACTGGTTTGAAACATTTTTCCTGTTTCAGAGCTGAGGTCTCTGGAAGGCCTGATACCCATGTGATCTGGACTTTGTCTAAAGCAGCTCTGCTAAATGGGCTTCTCTTGAGCTGCTAGTACTGAAAACCATAGAACTCATCCACTCTGAGCAACCTCCTCTGCCTTGGGCTTGTCTAGTGTTCCTCGAACAAGAAATTCAAATTAGACATTCTGTACCCACTGAATCTGCACCTTCTGCCAATTTTTTTGTTCTAACCTAATGTCCCTGTCTGTGTCTGTTTCAGTGATTGCAATGAAGCTCTATTGACTTCACCACCTCGAGACAAAAAAATCAATACATAGAATGGGAACATATCATGTAATTTATCCTAAATGCAAATTCACATTTATGCAAATATTCACATTCATTACTAGTATACATGTTTCAACCAAGTATAGTGAGTTCCCTTTCGTAGCTAGGATCCCTAAGCGTGAAAGGATCACACTTCCACCTTAAATCTAGCGTGCTGAAACTGTATCTTAAGTTTGGTCTAAATAACATTGATATTAAACCAGAAGAAAAATTCAGAACAACCCACAGTACTTCCGTAGGATGGTCCAGAAAGAAAAGGTTGCAAGTCAAAAGTGAGATAAAATGATGATATATGGTATGATCAGGTCTGGGATATACACATGACTCGATCTGGGTATGAAAACCCCTCATTTTCATTAGTTAGGTACTTATGCTTGTACTCATGCTTCTTTTAACTATAAACCCATTGATCTCAATATAGAAGAAAATTCAGACTTAGGGAGATACTGGTCCAATTAACAAGTCTTACACTGAATTATATAAATCATTTAAATGGATGAGATTTGCCAGATGGTTCTCATTGGAAGAACTGAACCTTAGTGCATACATCTGCATTACCTGCTTGCAGCAAAAATCTCTATTGCTTTCAGTTGTGATACTCTCTTTTTCCATCTGCTTTTTTATTATTATGATTATCTATTTTTCAAAGAAAGAGAATTCATTCTTCTTGCTAGCATAGTCCTAAGGAGTGCAGCCAACTGTGATGAGATTCTGGTTTCATAATTCAGTGGACAAAAATGAATTTATTCGTTCAAAATATATTTCATAGAGATGAGCTCTCAACAATCAGGCATAGTTCTGTATAATAGTTGCTATAGAGCAGCCAGTATATAGTTTGCAATTACTTCTGTGATATTTCTGTTTAATAAAGCAGATAGTAGTTTTATCACTGTGAACTCTTTTAATTCATAGATGACAGAAAAAAACAGTCTTGCACCATGGAACTGAATGGAAAAGGTCTAATTGGAATCATTTTAGCCACACAAAAAAAGAAAAAAGACCTTCCATTGAAATTGCCATAGTTTGCTAATATCATATTGTGTTGGTTACTCTTTTTTTTTTCTTTATTTCCAAAAGGGAAAAAAAATGTGTTGCATTAACTCATCCTCAAGACAAGGAAATATGCTGGATTTAAATCAGCACTGTCCACTTTGCTTCAGAAATCACACAGAATCACAGAATCCCAGACAGGTTGAGGTTGGAAGGGACCTCTAGAGATCATCTAGTCCAACCCCCCTGCTCCAGCAGGGACACCTAGAGCACGTGGCACAGGGTGACATCCAGGCGGGTTTGGAAGATCTCCAGAAAAGGAGACTCCACAACCTCTCCGGGCAGCCTGTTCCAGTGCTCTGTTACCCTCACAGGAAAGAAGTTCTTCCTCACATGCAGATAAAACTCCCTGTGTTTCAATTTGTACCCAAATAAAGATTTGCTCTTAAGCTAAACCAAATGACCCATCTGGAAGAAATCTGTACTGGTTCTAAAACAGATAATGAAGAAGTTACTGGAGCAATCTGAAAGTTTCTCTAGGAATTATAATATTCTGCTGGCTTTTCACAGCAGCAGATGACAATGCTATACAGCTATGCAGGCCAATTAATTAGCAAGGTAGAACTAATCCCCATTCTAAATACATCTGCTCTAAGAGAAGGGAGAAATGTATACTCAGATCCAGGATTCCCTCATGTAGGTACTTAGACCAAATCTTGATGAAATTAGATTTAGTCAAACAAAGGCTTTTATTTTCAAGCTAGCTGCACTCCATTTTCTTATTAATTTCTTGTCATGCAAATCATGCTCATTTAGTTTTCTGTATGCCTAAATATATTCTTCTATTTAAATTCTTAGGCAAAAAAAGCTAAAGTTTGCCCACAAAAAAGGAGTTTGCATTGTTTTTATGCATGATTTTTCTGTTTCTTTCATACAATTACTTTTTTAACAGGAAGAAAAGAAAGATCACATATACATTAAAGAATCCTACCCGATTGCCTTCAAATTTTGCACGATCGTTGTTTGACTTCGCTGTTTTTTCTGCAAGTTTCTTCTGCCTTTGAGGGCCTTTTCCAAAGAAAATGTAGTTGACAAAGGCGTATTCAAGTAAGGCCAAGAAGACAAATACAAAGCAGCCCATAAGATACATGTCAATGGCTTTAACGTATGGAATTTTAGGCAAAGTCTCTCTCAGGTGAGTGTTGATCGTTGTCATAGTCAGCACGGTTGTAATTCCTAAATAAAGAAATAGAAGAACGTGTATCTTACAAACCTAAGCAGAACATGCTTCAGTTTGGTTTTCCTTTTTGGCAAACTTACTTCACTTGTCAATGTGCAGAAGTTTAAAAATTTGTGAAAGAAGTCTCTCAAGTGAGTCTCATGGCAAATGAAAAGAAAATAAAAGCTTGATGCATTATTTTATAATATTATAATATTTTTTCCACATGATCTGTGAGAATAGCGAACAATGGGGCATAGTATCACTCCAATGAGTTAACATATCTTCATTGAAGCCAGCGTAGCTGTACTGAGCATCTGCTCCATGAAGACCAAGCTGATCTGAGATAGAAAGGCAAATAGTCTGTAAAGCACTAAAAAGGTGCTTGCAGCACCGTGGTAGCATCACACAATGGAGAAAAATTTTTAGGAAGTAACAAAACTCATGAGGGGACTGGATATACAAAGCCATGTGAACATATTAAGGGAGAGCATTTGCAAAGCCCACTACCTTGACAAGAGATTCCTCTCATCCCATTTGAAATTTCTAACAGTTTAACAGCAGGTTGAAGTCATTTCGTCTATGGTAGATGGAGACAGATAGGCACTTCTCTTGAGCAGTTCATGCCATATATTTTATACACCTATTTCAGGATAAGACAATATGTTCTCTTCATGAAAAGGGACTTGAAACTAATTTTTAGATAGCTAGAAAGAGGTGAAATAAGCAATGAGGAGCAGACCAATATGCAGATTTGAAGAAAGAAAAAGCCAAGCAGGCAGAGCAGCATTTTTAGAGTGTCCACTGGACATTAACAAAGTCCCCAGAAGATCTATTAGGTATGTGAAATCCTCATTTATTTACCTAGGAATGGACATAGCATTTGAAAATATATTACAGAACTCTAATTTTGAAAAGCGGTAAAAAATCAAATTTATTATTAGTCTGCTTGAACATACAATGAACTGTAGATATCTGCTTGGAATTTTATGGGAATCACAAATCACAAAGGGCTGAAAACACTGATTTGTAGAGCAGTTCTGCATTCAAAAAAGATGTAAGCCATTCTAATGGATCTGCTTCTACTACAATTTTCTTTGATTCCATAATTATACAATCAGTTTCTACGTAGACAGTAAAATGTAGGCAAAACAAAAATTAAGAACAAAAGAAAAAATCTGGCATATTGGAAAGCACAGCTCCTTGTACCTGAAGACAGAAATAAAGACTCTATAACTTAAAATCCATCTGGTTGTGTAAACAGTGTCACTCCAGGGAAGAGCAGTAGTAGCCTAGGAGTGTCTACAAGAGACATTTTGTATAGTTAGTAGGTCACGGTCATGAGGTTTCTAATGCTCTTCCTCTAAACTGTTAAAACAAGTGTCTGCTGATGTCTGATGTTTCATGGCTTGAAACACAGTAGAGCCACGTACAGCACAAGCTTACTTAAAAAAAAAAAAAAAAGGGATTGTGTATAATCCATCCAACTCTGCAGTAAAATGAGGAGTATAATTGACATGTGAGAGTCACATTAGATTTATTTTCACCTAAAGAAATTTTGACAAACTCTCTTGGGAACCTCCCTGCCAGCACAGGGAAAAGGGGTGAGAAGGTTGTAGGACTGTGTCTGATATTATCACACATTTGCATCCCATGAGTTTTCTCTAGCCTGAGTTATTTTCTTTCACAGGAGGATTTCCTGCTATTGCTTCCTGCAAGGGATTCCAAGAAAAATAAAATTGACTCCTGTATCAGAAATCCACACATTTATCTGTTAACACACCTTTGGCATCTCACTATCATCCCACAGGTGCTTATCAAAGACTTGATCCACCAAGGGATTTAGAAGTCTGCCCAGAAGGTGTTGCAATGGCCGCAGTTTTGGTGCTGGATTGGTGAAACCTTGATTCTGAAAATAATTCCCTACCCACTACCTTGGGAGAGTCCAGCGGCTCTTTGGGTAAAACACTAAATGCCGTGGTGTCTACTACTAGCCAAAATGAGAGATATCACCTGGGAGATCAGGAGATGCTGAGTTATACACTACAGGCACATGCCCCACCCATGGAAAGATGAGTATCTCCCTTCTAAAGATCATGAATTTCTTTCAAAGCACAGCTGGAGGAGAAGCAGGTATCATTTACCCATCATATAAAAAATAGGATAATCTCATGACTACAGCCCTCCCCAAGGATGGTAGGAGCATAAGATTATTTTTCCTCTTGCTCATGGACTGAATTTAGGAACCTCAAGGGCCAAGTATAAAAAAAGATCTCACAATTTTGAGCACTGGTGCCCCATAATTGAAGGGTCTGAATATTTCTCTTGACATCAGCCTCAATTCATATTGTCTATGGCACAAAGCATTGGAATGAACTGTCCTTTGTTCTAAGCCTGGGTTTCTTTGCCGAAAGAACTACTTGGTTCACCCCAGGCTGGAGCACAGATAATGTGCACATCCAGGGACCACAGGCTGGAGCAAAACATGGAATTGAATGGGTCAGATTCAAGCTTTCAGAGAATACAGCCTTTCTATAGAGGCTGAGTAAGTCTTGTCTCCATGTCTATGAGGACTGTACCAGGAATCCTTTCTCTAACAAATACCTAGGCCAGCAGGCCTTACTCTCCTCTGTACTGAGCTTTCCAGAGCCAACACTACCTTTATGCTTTGATAAAATTTCCTGCTAGCTTCAGTCTCATAAAACTGCCTATACAAAGAAGCACGGGATTAGACCTGTGATGCAGAACTTTCTAAAACCAGCACGAAACAATACAAGGCATTAACTGTTTTCTCAGAAGAATCTATTCAATATATTTTCTTCCTCTCCAAAGGACTTTCTATGAATTGGAAATAGAACATCTGGCATCCTGAGAATCCTTTAAATGTACTGACCAACTTTTTTTTCTAGTATCTGTGTTATCACAGTATAGCACTTGATGAACCAGGAACCATTGTGCGAGACAGAAATAGGTCACATTAGATAGTCCTGTTCCTTAAACGAGGGAAAAAATAGAAAAAAAAAAAAAAAAGTGAGCCTGTTGTAGGAGGGTGCAGCATTTAATATCTAGATGCTAGCAGATGATTCTGAAGTGTTTCCCTCGCCCCTATCACCCTGTAAGAGACCTGGGGTGGATCTTTCCTATCAGTAGCTCATTTATGAATATAACAGTTGACTGAATTCTATGCCCCACTTTCCATTAAAAAAAAAATGCATTAGCTGTTGTGTGGTAATGCCATATTGTGTGATATGTACTACGCACATACATACCAGCTAATTCTACAGAATTACTGTAAAAACTGCAGTTAAATTAATCTGCAATATTTCCAGTAACTCCAGTTTAGATATTAGGATGTAACATAATATTGGACATAGGTATAATTGTAGCTGCTCAGCCTGCTTTGGTATGTGGGATCTATGGAGTTAAGGAGTACAGAGATAGGTAAAACATATAGGCAGTCTTGCAGTCTTTGTTTGCTGTGATACATATCAGAGAAATAAGGGAACTAGAGAACATGCTTCTCTCTTTTTTCCTTTTTTTTAGAGAATAGAGCAGAGTCAGAAGTTATTATACAGTACAGGTCTAGTGTCAAGTTTCAGGTGGGAAGGTATGTCCTACTGGGAAACACTGTCTGGAGATCAGATTTGGGATTAGATGAGAAGCAGCAGTAGTCATAAGGATTACTTATGAATCTTCCTTGTCTATAGCTATTCCTTACTAGGCTTTTGTAACAAATGGAATATTTCCTACTGGATATTTTGAGGCTTCCTTCCCCTACCAAAAGGACACTTTGACCTGAAAAAGTCTGGGATTGGTCACCAATTTGTGTTAAATCCATGTTTTTCTGCTATGGGGTAAAAGGCACTTAAAGCTGTCATAAAAATGCGCTCAGCAAACTAGGCATTCTGAGAGTGAGTGTCATGGTCTGTAGCTGACGTGCTCCTGTGTTCTGATGTTCACAGCTAGCAGAGAAGACCTTGAGGTCTGCTCCTGCCACTCTAAGTTACTACAGTCCCAACAACTTGAGCCAGAACCCCAAGTGGAGGCTTGAAGCCACATTTTTTTTTCCACACTGAGCTGGCTTAGAAGTCCATGCTCAAACCCTTGGAGTATGATTTTGGAGCTGGCACCCTCACTGAAGGTACTGACAATAATATTAACTTTGATGAACAACTTTGATGAACTTTGAGCTGCTTTAAGTAGCAGCTGTGTTCTTCTGTGTGGGGAGAACTCATCACTTTTGACGCAATACTGAAGGACATGATTTTGACATAAATGATTTTGGAATATCAAAACACTGACATCATGTTGCACTGTTTAACAACCTCCAAAGGCTACATTCAGTCTGACATTTTAATGTCTCACTCATCCTTATCACATACCAAGGGCAACTCTTGCTGCTGATGCATCATAATTGATCCAGAATGACACCCAGGATAAAATGGTGATCAGTATGGAGGGCATGTAGGTTTGAAGAATAAAATATCCAATATTTCTCTTCAACCTGAAGCTCAGTGAGAGTCTTGGATAGGCACCTAGGGAACGGGAGGGAAAACCAACGTTATTTATACTAATGAAAAGACATTTGCAGATATTTGTTTTCAGTTTCCGTAGAAACTAAAGCATGCATATTTTATTGGGTATTATGAAATCCGAGGAACAGCAGGGAAAACACCTTCACCGAATTTCTCCCTGGTATTAAAAGAAACCTTGCAGAGAATATAGTGATGTCCAAGCAACCTGAATTTGGGAAGAATAGAGTATGTCATTCTAAATTATTGAACAGATGGGTGAGTACTGGTTAGCTTTAAAAACATGCGTCTAAGTCTTCATGTAAAATGCTTATCCAAAGAGATGATTTTTATGTATAGTATTTTATTTAAAGGATTAGTAGAGTTCCAAATATTATGTGCATTTTTTTTCCATTTAGATAGAACAGTTATTCTTGACATGGTGATTTTTAATTACACTTGAACTACGAGAAATATGCTACATGAAGTGTTAAAAGTAAATTGCATTGAATCGCAGTGAGAAAAAACCTTCAATCTTGATCCAAAGTTGGTAACATCAATTAGAGCTGGACAGAATTTTTCTTTCAGAACTGTTTCAGCAAAAAATAAGAGAAGCAGGTACTTGAAATATTTCCAGCTATATATAATTCATAAATTGTTGCCATTGAAGCAACTAAATGATGATAAAATGAATAAGCTCAACATCATTTTTTCCAAACCTTTCTAAACATAATGAAGCTCTCATTCTAGATGGAAGATAATTTCCTGTGTATTCTAATACACACATGTATAAGGTGTGATAGATTAGATTTATAAATAATTAATAATTTACAAATTTCACTTAAAATTATTACATTCATATTTCTGCATATGAGCATAAGAAATTACATACATTTATATATATACAAGAAAGATGGATGTCCTTCAGAAGATAGAAGGAGTAGAAAACTGCAGCTTTCTCTTCATCATGTTCCTGACAGTTTGGTATATGCTGGGTCATGTGACAGGAAAAAATGCTAGTTTTCAGGCAACAGGAGCACCCAGGGAGTATCAAATCTTATGCAACAACACTTGTTTGTTGTATCAAACACATTTCAGAAAAACTCTCACCAAAACTGTGAAATATCTGGTAGATGCACTTGTTTGTTATTTCAATCAATAATATTTTCTCCAGAAATAAATTGAATTGTTTTTAGTTTCACAAATAGATAAATATTGGCAGAGCAAAAGCAATTTATTTCATTATGGAACTCTGACTACAGTCAATATAATTCTTGCCAAAGAATCATTCAGACTTTAGTTTCCTTCTAACTAAACATGTTCATGTTCTGACTGTATCACTGTCTCATTTTTAATGACAAACTGTCTCTTTGAAATCACGTCAGCATCTTTGCTAACAGAGCTTAACTTTTTATTTGAGTTTTCTCATGAAAGTTTCCACCACTTCAAGCCTGCAGACTGTGTAAATGAAACAGGAACACCTCCTGCCATGAAACACACTAAAAATTTAGCAGGCACGATCACCTCTTTACAGTAACACATGTTACTGTAAAGGTGTAACTACATCATGCAGAAATTTCATAAAGCTCTAGTGAGGAAAATTACTTCATAAAATATACCGGCCATGGAAAGGATTTTCTACAAATCTTTTACTTTCAAAAGCCCTATCCAGGTCTGGGGAATACCACTGATAGAGGTGATAACTGGAAATTCCCTCATAAAATACTGCTCCTTCAACAATCTAAAGGATACATTCAAGAATATATGTCAGCTTCAATGGACTGATCACAGAATCAATGCCTCTTCTTGGGCTGTTCCAGTACCACTGAACATGGAAGCACTAGGGAATCTCAGGGAATGAAGAAAGAGATCATTTTGCTTCCAGCAAACTGGGAAGTCTGATTCTCAGACCATTTCAGAATAACTTGGCCTTCGTATAGTTCAACCTGAAACTGAAACATGTACTGGTAGCCTTGTTTTTGTCAGACAGTTCTACCTCCTGCCACCCCACACAGCACAAATACCATGGTGCCATAGCCTTCCGTTATGTAGCTGTCCCTGAGACTGCAGAAGTTTGCATTACTTTCATCTGCTACTTTTATGCTTTCACAGATGGTTTATGGGTCCTGCCTCCAGCCTGCCTTCCCTGCTGCCCTTCCTCATTTCCAGGAAACACATGGCTCTGTGGAAAAAAAAAAGACCTAAAAGAAGGAACACTCCTGTAAAGGCAGCTTATTTCCCCTCTTTGTCTGGATGACTAAAGCTAAGCGAACTGGGTGGGCTTTCACCTGTATGGATCAAAGATTGTAAGCGCAGATCTTTATTTACCTAAGAAGGAATCATCGTGTGTAATTTCTTAAATAAAAATGAATTTCTTCTTGTTGTACTTGGTGAGTACAACAATGACACTGTTTCTTGCTTTATTATGCATGGATAATGATTTGTCAATTAAAGCTCTATACATTTATAGATTAATTACCAGAAAATCCTAGCTGTTAACATTTCAGCAAAATATGCTTTTTGCCTAAGGAACAGTGGTGCTGGCCAAAGGTAAGATATTCTGCCTTTCCTCTCACATCACATAACATGTGGATGACTTTGGGATAATTTAAATAGCACACAAACAGCAGAATTTGGTCTCCAACATTTTAATCTAACTACAGAATTGAGAATGCAAACATGAAAACAAATACTTAATCAATAACTGAGCTGAAAATTATCCTTCCTTCACATGAATATAGCACTTGGTAAAAAGTAATTACTCGTTTCTGCTTCAATTTCATTAAAAGCTAGCAAGCTGAAATATCTAGCTCCAAGGCTAAATTGGTCTCTTGCTGTTTTATTCAAGTATAAACCAAGATAACAGAGTTGGTCAGTTACAGAATTCTTATATTAATCTGTTCTTCTGGGAAAGTTCTTCAGCTAATTGGAAATGTACTTTACAGACTGATCTTTCAGAATATGCTAAGTAATTAATTTTCAAACCTTTTAGGACTACCTTCCTCTTACAAACAAGTTGCTAATCTAGCTCTAACTGCAATGAATCTTGAAGGTTTTAGGCTGT